GCGGTGAACATAGCTAATGTCGTGGGGGGTGGGGATCCTTGGTGGTCTCCGAGCTGGCTTGCTTTCTTGCAGACGTTTCATTACCCAGCCTGGTAACATCATCAGTTGCTAGTAAGGAGTGGGGTTTGCTTTCAGTTTCTGTTCTGGTGAATTTGCCTGTCTTGTGTTGGTGGAGATGGGTCTTAAGAGATTCTTTAATTGGGCTATTTAACGGATGGCTCTTGGGCAGTTTCTCGATTGCGGTATTGTTTACTTGATTGTGGTTTGAAGTTAACCTTGGAGTTCATCCATGCTGATCTGAATGCTGATTATTGATTATTTTGTTCTCTATAGATTAGGCTGGTTGCATAATCTATAGATGTTGTTATGCCTGTTGATAGCAAACACTCTTATTTTCCTATTTTCCCCCTTAACAACCACCCTATGAAGTGGGGCAAACTTCGTCTCCCTCTCCCCATTTCCTTCACACCTGCAGATACGACAGTCCTCTTGCTGTCCTCTTTCCTTGCTGTTTTCCTTCCTGCGTGCCTTTCTCACAATGCCCTCTCCTCCTCCTCCAGACCCATCCAGCTTTCTACCTTTCTTTCTGCCTCCAGGCGTCTTTGGGACTACATCTCCCAGCCTTCCCAGCCAGCTCCAGCCTGACAGATGTGTCACCAGCAGGCATTTGAGGACACAGAATTACCCTGATTCTTCTCTTCGCCGCATTTTCCCCAAATTTGGGGCGCTTCCAAGACTTTTGAGAAGTAAACGTGTGACCCCAAATCTGGGCACATCCTTAACGGCAGGAAATGTTACCGGTAGTCCTCAACGTACGACCACAATTGAGCCCACCGAAATTTATGGCATTCAGTGAGAAATTTGTTAAGCGGATTTTGCCCCATTTTACGACTTTTCTTCACATGGTTGTTAAGTGAATCACGGCAGTTGTGAAATTAGTAACACGGTTGTTAAGGGAATCTGGCTTCCCCATGGACTTTGCACGTCAGAAGGTCGCAAAAGGGGATGGGGTGACCCTGGGACACTGCAACCGTCGTAAATGTGAGTCAGTTGCCAAGCATCTGAATTTTAATCACGTGACCATGGGGATGCTGCCACGGTCATAAGTGTGAAAAACGGACACCGGTCCCTTTTTTTCAGTGCCATTGTAACTTTGAATGGTCACTAAGCGAACTGTTGTAAGTCAAGGACTACTTATATTTTCCAGTTCCATCAACAGGGACCTTTAGAGTGGTGCGGTGGCCTAGAGGTGGAACCCTCGCCTCACAATCAGAAGGGCTGTGAGTTCGATCCTAGGTAAAGGCAGATATTTCTCTCTCTGGGCACAATGAGAATATATCTGCTGAACAAAAACTCCGCATTGGAAACAGGAAGGGCGTCCGGCCAGTAAACACTCAGCTCCATTCAGTTGCCAGACTCCACCCCACAAGGGATTATGGGGTCATTAAAAGATGATGATGAGTGGTGCATAGCCTAGAGGTGGAGCTCTCCCCTCACAATCAGGAGGGCTGTGAGTTCGATCCTAGGTAGAGGCAGATATTTCTCTCTCTCTGGGCACAATGAGAAATAGATCTGCCGAACAAAACTCCGCACTGGCGAGAAGAAGGGCATCCGGCCAGTAAACACACTGCTAGCTCCATTCGGTTGCCCAGACTCCACCCCACAAGGGATTATGGGGTCGTTAAACGATGATGATGATGATCGACAGGGATCTTTCTCCCCCCCCCGCAAAAAAAATTTCCCACTTTTCCCAACCTTGCAAATCCGACGTCCTATTTCTCTTTGGAGCACACCTCATTTTGCTTTCGCTTCTTAGCCCCGGGGTCACGTCTAGGAGAAAGGCCGTGCTAAAAATGCAACATATCACATAAATGCTCGGTCGCGCCTTTCTCTCGACTCCATTCCCTCCTCGGATCTGAGCTTGCCAAGCCGACATAAAAGGCCCCAGCCTTTTTCCCGGTCCCTGCCGAAGAAGATCACAAGGAAGGGTGTATGTGTGTGTGTGTGTTTCGTTTTTGTTGTGTTGTGTTTTTTTTTATAATTATTATTTTTTGGCTTGCTCTTGTGGTGCGAGGCCTTCCTGGGCAGGGAGCCATTGTACCGAAAGGTGTCGGAAGAAAAGACCGAACCTCGTGCGGCTTGTTTTTTTTCCCTCACGGTGGAAGAAAAGAGCCAGGCCTGAAGAAAAGATTACATACACCCAGCTTGCCTGTCTGCGGGAAACATCGCTTTCTATTCTTGCGGGGTTTTTCTTTTTTTTTTCCCCCTCCCTCTTTACATAATAATCCAGCTTTCCCCCCTTTCTTGCCTCGCCACGAACTCCAGAGAGAGAGAGAGAAAGAGAGGAGATAAACATAAGACGGGCTGCCAAGGTTGCCATTTTGAAATCAATCCGGCACAGCAAGAGACATCGCAAGGCACAAGAAACCTTGAAGAGAAAAGGGTTTCCCCCCCCAAAAAATTAAAAGTTGATCTGATGATTCTAGCCGCATGTACAGTCGGAATAAATTCGCCGGCTTTCCTCTACATCAGGAGTGTCAAATTCAAGGCCCGTGAGGAGGCCGGATCCAACCCGTGGGGTACTTAGATCTGACCCGCGAGGCCGCCCTGGAAAAAAAATAGCAAATCGATGGGATTTAAATCGATGGGATTTAAATCAAATCCACCCTGCACGTAAATACTGTGTAAGCCGAAATCTTCCTGGATTCAGCCCTCTGTTGCAAGTGGGTCTCCCCATCAGTCTTTCAGGCGCACCCGTTCGCACAAATAGATGGTACTACGTGGGTATTCGATACCAGTGACAATCAGCTGGCATGAATTGATGGAAACGGCGAACACTGATTAATGCGGCTGTGCAAGGTTTAGCATCATCTCACACCGGGGTTTGTAGGAAAAAAAAAAAATTCTGAAGGCCCCACGTGCTCAGCCTAAGCATGGAGGCCTTCAGAAGAGGCACGTTCTCAGAGCTGGCATCATTCGCACCCAGAAGAAGGGCCCAGGGACTCAGCCAGCCAGCTGGGGTTGCTGTTCATTTGCTGATCCATTTGGATCTGGGTAGGTGTGATTCTGTCTTCTGACCTAGGCTTCCTTAGAAAGTATAAAGCACAATCTTAGTCCTGTAAAACCTCTTATTTATACGACTGTAAATTACTTTCATTTACAGTCCGCAAATCTTTCAGAGGAAGGTTATCCACGCCTACCTATCTCACGTGGAACGCTGCCAAGAGAGCTAATTTCCAGAGGCAGGGCAAGGCCAAACTTGGCACAGAGTCACAAACCGAACTTTCAAATCTTGAATCGGCCAGATGAGCTAATTGCTTCCTGCAAAAAGCTCACGCCCCATTCGTTTCTCTTTTATGTCTTATGGGAGGGGCCAATCATCTCCAAGCCTTACTCCCAAGTCGACCCTGTTTCCTTAATTGTTCTTGTCGTCTGGCAGCTCTGGGAACAGGCTCCCGCTGTTCTTCTGCCTTGCTGCTGTCAGACTCCGGAGGCTGCACATAACTATCAGACGGCCTTGGCCCCCTCTCTGCCTCCGATGCAGAGCCAGGCCCAAGTTCCTCCCCAACCTCCTCATTGTCCGACTCTGCTGGCTGCCAGTAGGCCACAACACTTAGGCCCCCTGGTGCTCAAGATACTAGCCATGATGGTCTTGTGGTGAGCAAATGAAGGGAACCGGGAATTGGCCTTGAAGAATTAGGACCTTTTTCCTAATTTTCCTTGCTGCTGGATTTCATGCAACTGAGGCGGAAGGCGTGGGGCAGAATTATTTCATGGGTTTGGAATGTGGGGCTTTGAAATGGGGCAGCAGGTTCAGTATCTGTAGAAGGGAATATTTGTAACTCGGGGTTAAACTACGGGATCCCTGGGGCTCTCTGAGCTGGGTGGTTGGCTTGCCGACGTCTCATGACCCAACTAGGTAACCTCATCCAGTGCAGTGATGATGTGATGATCAATGAACTGATGACGTTACTTCGTTGGGTCATGAAACGTCTGCAAAAAAGCCAACAAGCTCAGGAGAGCAACAAGGACCCCACAGTTGAGTGTCTGCCAAACCAAACTGGAGAAACACGGTCTTATTTAAGGTTTTACCCTACTCTCGTTTTAAATGGTTTGTTTAGAATTTTATTGGTAATCTGTGTTTGAACCTGTACATTGATATGGCCTATAGACTAATCAATCCAATCAATCAATCAATCAATCAATCAATCAATCCCTTCCCTTCTCCTTTCTCTTCTTTTCCCTTCCCTTCCCTTCCCCTCCTTTCCCTTCCCTTCTCCCTTCCCTTCCCTTCTCCTTTCCCTTCCCTTCCCCTCCTTTCTCTTCCCTTCCCTTCCTTTCCCTTCCCCTCCTTCGCTTCCCTTCTCCTCCTTTCCCTTCCCTTCCCTTCTCCTCCCTTCCCTTCCCCTCCTTCGCTTCTCTTCCCCTCCTTTCCCTTCCCTTCTCTTCCTTTCCCCTCCTTTCCTTTCCCTTCCCTTCCCTTCTCCTCCTTTCCCTTCCCTTCCCTTCCCTTCCCTTCTCCTTTCCCTTCCCTTCCCTTCTCTTCTCCTTCCCTTCCCTTCCCTTCCCTTCCCTTCCCTTCCCTTCCCTTCCCTTCCCTTCCCTTCCCTTTCCTTTCCTTTCCTTTCCTTTCCTTTCCTTTCCTTTCCTGAATATTAAAAGCCCAAGGATCACACACTGTTCCCCATCACCTTCTAACCAGCACATGTTCCACCAATAGCTGCTTCATTTCACCGTTGTGAGCCCACTTTGGGCGTAACCCAACTTTCTGTGCCTTTTGAGAACCGTTGCACCTCCTGTTCGAGTGACAGGCAGCAGGAGGAGGATTCACTAGAGCTCTGCGCATGGGGCATCTCTGCCATTCCTCCAGCAACGTAGCTCCTGTGGGGCGTGGGCTGCTGGGAGTTGTATTCGGTGGACATCTGGAGGGCTGCAGCTTTCCTTCTCTGGCAGTAGAGGACGTGCGATCTTACTAACCCTTCTGTGTCTTTAACTTGCAGGAGGCTGAACAGCACCCAAGGAGAAATCCGGGTTGGGCCCAGCCATCAGGTAAGGTTGCCCCGAGCATCGCCTCGCCGTGCAGTTTTTTTTCACACAAAAAAACCATTCCACAAACAATCCTGGCTGTAGCATTTGAAGAATTGTTGTTGGCTTGCAGCCTAGTTTACTCGCTTGTAATATTCAACTTGATGCCGAACAACTCTGGGCAACCCCGTAGTCAAACACAAGGCCCGTGGGCCAGATCCAGGGATGGGCTGCTGGGGGTTCGCAAGTGTTTGGGAGAACCTCTAGCTAAGATTCTGTGCAGTTCGGAGAACCCCCAAATCCCACTCCTGGCTGGAAACTTCTGGTAGGCCCATTTTTTGCCCACCTCGAGCCTCCGCGCGCGCCCTGCACTTACCTGCATCCAAAACGGGCTGCATGGGGACTCCGGGGAGGGGCGGGTGGGCAGGCCCAGCCAGGAGTGGATTTGGGGGTTGTCCGAACTGCACAGAATCTTAGCTAGAGGTTCTCCCGAACCCCTGTGAACCCCCAGCAGCCCACCCCTGCATGAAATGCTTGGAAAGAAGAAAGACACACACCTCTTTGTGTGTGTGTGTGTGTGTGTGTGTGTGTGTTTGTTTGTTTATGGATGACCGGCCACATTCCTTTACAACTCAAGACTTTCTCAACTTTAAAAGTTTGCTTTAAAACTCCGCTTTAAAAGTTCGCGTCGAGTGTCCGCGACGGCTGACGTTTCTCTGATTTATCTTCCCTCTTCTTTCCAGGCCAAGCTCCCCGAGCTGCAGCCTTTCCCTTCCGGAGATGGTGACGCGGTGACACGTCACGAAGAGCTGGTCTGGATGCCCGGGGTGAACGATTGCGACCTGCTCATGTACCTGCGGGCGGCGAGGTAATCATCATGTTCGGAAATCGGCCCGCCGAGGACCCTTGGGTTTGCAAAAACCCAACCGACCTGGCGCCCCAAAGTTGCCTCTGAGAAAGAGACGCTCCCTGCTTGGTGCGTCGGTGCACGGACGCCTCTCAAAAACAGCCATGCTTTCTTCAGATTAGGGAGGAAGCTTGGAAAGCTGGTGTGCATTTTCTAGAAGAGAGGTGGGCTGCTCTCGGGCGTCTCCACAAGGCCCGTTTTTTTCTCCCTTTCCTGATTCGTTTCAGAAGGGGCGCTGTCTTAGCGATAGAGGTTAGACTTATATACCGCTTCACAGTGCTTTCCAGCGCTCTCTAAGCAGTTGACAGAGTCAGCCCTCTTGCCCCCAACCATCTGGCTCCTCATTTTACTGACTTCAGAAAGACGGGAGCCTTAGTCGACCTTGAGCCACTCGGTCAGGATTGAACTCCTAGCTGTGGGTAGAGTTAGCCTGCAATACTGCATTCTAACCACTGGGAAGGAAGGATGGAAGGGAGGGACGGAGGGAGGGAGGGAAGGAAAGAAGGAAGTAGAAATAGTGAAGGAAGGAGAGAGGGAGGGTGGGAGGGAGGAAGGAAGGAAGATAGCAATTGCACTTAGACTTATATGCTGCTTCACAGTACTTTACAGCCCTCTCTAAGCAGTTTACAGAGTCAGCCTCTTGCCCCCCAACAATCTGGATTCTCATTTTACTCACTTCAGAAGGACAGGAGGCTGAGTCGACCTTGAGCCAGTCGGTCAGGACTGAACTCCTAGCTGTGGGCAGAGTTAGCCTGCAATACTGCATTCTAACCACTGGGAAGGAAGGATGGAAGGGAGGGACGGAGGGAGGGAGGGAAGGAAAGAAGGAAGTAGAAATAGTGAAGGAAGGAGAGAGGGAGGGTGGGAGGGAGGAAGGAAGGAAAATAACAATAGCACTTAGGGTAGTTTACAGAGTCATTGTTCTCCATTGTGGTCGTAAATCGAGGATTACCAGTAAATCTCTTTTTTAAGTTGGGGGAGCTTAGCCTAGTAGGGAAAAAAAATTATCCGTCAATATTGGTTTTTTTGGCTCTGCTGGCTTCACCTTGGAAGACGGTCGCAACCTGCTAAACTTCAAATTTCTTTTTGGGATTCGAAGGAGCATGGCAGCTTTCGCAGGGATGTGCGACGGCGGTTCGACGGAAGACGGCTGCGTGGCGGCTTCCCGGGATGACACCACCCTCAACGCGCTCAACACGGTAAGGAGCCAACTTCCGCCTTTCCGGAAATAAAACGTTTTAGCAATTCTAACCGAGTTCTTCTGCAGGGCGATGTTCAAAATCGTGCCTGTGTGTTTGGGTCGACCTTGTGAATCTTAGGCAGCCGGACTGGTCCAATCCACAGAGCAGAGGGAAGGGGGAGTGGGGGAGAGAATTTAGGAAGGGAACTGAAGAATAAACAGAATTGGCGTAGGGGCTTGCCACAGCTCACCTCTTCATTGTAGATGGGCTGGTGGCCCTTGGCTTCTCTCCAGCCCGCTTGTGACATATGGCTACTTGCTGGGGTGCCATTCAGATGTTGGTCTGAAAACTTCAGGGATTTTTTGCCTACTCAGTACAATCATACTGACTTATATGCATCCAAGTGGCTGTAGGTGTAGGTTTTCCCAAAATGGGTAGAATAGGGCAGGGCAGGGCAGGGCAGAGTAGGATGCAGAACACAGAATGGAATGGAATGGAATAAGGAATAAGGAAGGTTAGGAGAAGAATAGAATAGAATAGAATAGAATAGAATAGAATAGAATAGAATAGAATAGAATAGAATATATGGAACGGAATGGAATAGAATAGAATAAGGAATAGGAAAGGATAGAATGGAATGGAATAGAATAGAATAGAATAGAATAGAATAGAATAGAATAGAATATATGGAACGGAATGGAATAGAATAGAATAAGGAATAGGAAAGGATAGAATGGAATGGAATGGAATAGAATAGAATAGAATAGAATAGAATAGAATAGAATAGAATAGAATATATGGAACGGAATGGAATAGAATAGAATAAGGAATAGGAAAGGATAGAATGGAATGGAATAGAATAGAATAGAATAGAATAGAATAGAATAGAATAGAATAGAATAGAATAGAATAGAATATATGGAACGGAATGGAATAGAATAGAATAAGGAATAGGAAAGGATAGAATGGAATGGAATGGAATAGAATAGAATAGAATAGAATAGAATAGAATATATGGAACGGAATGGAATAGAATAGAATAAGGAATAGGAAAGGATAGAATGGAATGGAATAGAATAGAATAGAATAGAATAGAATAGAATAGAATAGAATAGAATAGAATAGAATAGAATATATGGAACGGAATGGAATAGAATAGAATAAGGAATAGGAAAGGATAGAATGGAATGGAATGGAATAGAATAGAATAGAATAGAATAGAATAGAATAGAATATATGGAACGGAATGGAATAGAATAGAATAAGGAATAGGAAAGGATAGAATGGAATAGAATAGAAAATATGGAATGGAATGGAAAAGAAAATATGGAATGGAACGGAACGGAACGGAACAGAATAGAATAGAAATCTTTTATTGGCCAAGTGTGATAGAAGAGACAAGGGATTTGTCTCCGGTGCAGAAGCTCTCAGTGTACTTACAAACAGCAAAGTAATATAATTGTAAGATACCAATAAGAGAAGGTAGTCAAAAAGACGAGAAGGATAATAGTACTACAGCCAAACCACGTGGAACATTAATGTCTTTATTAGGGCTAAGATCGGTGACCGTGTCTTAAACACCCGTACATTTTAATGCCTTTCTTTTTTTTCTTTTCGCCCCCCATCCTCTTTTTCTTCCCCTTTATTTGAGGGCCTTTTCTGAAATCACTGCAAGAGATGGTGAGAAGCAGGCTTTATACTCTATATTTATCTGTTGCCTTGGATCGAAAAGATGAGCCTTTCCTTTCCTTTCCTTTCCTTTCCTTTCCTTTCCTTTCCTTTCCTTTCCTTTCCTTTCCTTTCCTTTCCTTTCCTTTCCTTTCCTTTCCTTTCCTTCCCTTCCCTTCCCTTCCCTTCCCTTCCCTTCCCTTCCCTTCCTCTTTTCTTCCTTTCCTTTCCTTTCCTTTCCTTTCCTTTCCTTTCCTTTCCTTTTTTTTAAAAAAGGGGGAAATATTTAGCCTTCCAGAGGCCACGTTGCCTGAAACGGCTGGAAGACGGCTCTCCAACCAGGAAGAAATGGTTGCTTACCTGTTTTGGTTTTGCTGGGAGCCCAAACCGGCTTGTAAAAGCTGGACTTTTTCAAGAGATCCGTCCCCGTCTGGTTTTCCGATCCGTGGCTGGGAATTGCGGAGTCTGGTTTGCGCGGAGGGGGCGTGTTGATGTTTAGCAATGATAATGGGGTAAAAAAAAATAATAATAATGGATCCGCTCTATGATTCCTTATTATGGAAATACAATAAACTTCAGAGCGGCCCTTCACATAAATCATTCCTGACAAAGTTCTCTCCCAGTGTTTTATTTATGTAATAACAGGGTGCCGCAGTCCTCCCCGTGATTTATTGTTAATTACACCCAAAAGGCAGCGAGAGAACAAGGGAAGCCTTTTTTTTTCCCTTCCTTTTGCTGAGCAGCATTTATATTAACTTCCTTCCTCCCTGGGTCTATTTGCCTAAGGACAAGGCTACATTTCCTTCCTGCCCTCCCCTCCTCTCCCTTCCCTTCCCCTCCCTTTGTTTTTCTCTCCATTTATCCTTCCTTCCTCCTCTCCCCCTCCATTTATCCTTCCTTCCTCCTCCCTCTTTTTCCTTCCTTCCCTTCCCCTCCATTTATTATTCCCTCCACTTAGCCTTCCTTCCTCCCCTCCCCTCCCCTCCCCATCCCATCCATTTATTCTTTCTTCCTTCCTTCCTCCTCCCTCTTTTTCCTTCCTTTCTTCCTCCCTCCCTCCTTCTCTTCCCTGCCCCTTCATTTATTATTCTCTCCATTTATCCTTCCTTCCTCTCCTCCCCCTCCATTTATTCTTTCTTCCTTCCTTCCTCCTCCCTCTTTTTCCTACCTCCCTTCCTACCTCCCTTCCCTTCCCCTCCATTTATTCTTCCTTCCTTCCTCCTCCCTCTTTTTTCTTCTTTCCTTCCTTCCTCCCCTTCCCTTCCCCTCCATTTACCCTTCCTCCCTTCCTTCCCTTCCTATCTTCCTTCTCCTTCCTTCCTTCCTTCCTTCTTTCCTCTTTTTCTTCCCTTCCTCCCTTCCCTTTCTATCTTCCTTCATTCCTTCCTCCCTTCCTTCCCTTCCTATCTTCCTTCTCCTTCCTTCCTCCTTTCCTTCCCTTCTCTTCCCCTCCATTTATTCTTCTCTCCTTCCTTCCCTTCCCTTCCCTCCCCTCCCCTCGACAACCCAGCATGTAATTACAGATAGTCCTCGACTTACAACAGTTCATTTAGTGACCGTTCCAAGTTACAATGGCACTGAAAAAAAGTTACTTATGACTGCTTTTCACAGTTACCATCTGTGCAGTGTCCCAGTGATCTTGTGATCAAAATTCAGACCAGCTTGGCAACTGGTTCATAGTTACGACCGTTGCTGTGTCCCAGAGTCACACGATCTCCTTTTGTGACCTTCTGACGAGCGAAATCAATGGGAAAGCCAGATTCACTTAACAACCATGTTACTAACTGAGACAGCTGCATCAATTCACTTAACCACTGAGGCAGGAAACGTCGTAAAATGGGAATTTTGCTTAACAGCAGAAATTCTGGGCTCAAAAATCGTGGTCCGAGCCTTTTCGGATTTGGAGCAAGGATGTTGTCTCCCGTCTCCACACACACCTCCTTTTTATATTTATTTATTTATTTATTTATTTATACATATTTATTTATAATATATTTATTATATTATTTATACATTTTTCTTTAACATACATTGGTGCTTGGTAAACAGTGTATTGTCTGGCTCAATTTACTTTATACCTAGTAATATTGTTTATTTGTACATATAGAATAGAATAAGAATAGAATAACAGAGTTGGAAGGGACCTTGGAGGTCTTCTAGTCCAACCCCCTGTTCAGGCAGGAAACCCTACACCACTTCAGACAAAGGGTCGTCCAACAGATTCTTAAAAGCCTCCAGTGATGGAGGATCCACAATTTCTAGAGGCAAGCAGTTCCACTGATTAATTGTTCTCACTGTCAGGAAATTTCTCCTTAGTTCTAAGTTGATTCTCTCCTTGATTAATTTCCACCCATTGTTTTTTGTTCTGCCCTTCAGGTGCTTTGGAGAATAGCCTGACTCCCTCTTCTTTGGGGCAGCCCCTGAGATATTGGGACACTGCTATCATGTCTCCCCTAGTCCTTCTCTTCACTAGACTAGACATACCCAGTTCCTGCAACCGTTCTTCATATGTTTTAGCCTCCAGCCCCCTAATCATCTTTGTTGCTCTTCTCTGCACTCTTTCCAGAGTCTCAGCATCTTTTTGACATTCTGGCGACCAAAAATGGATGCAGTATTCCAAGTGTGGCCTTACTAAAGCCTTATAAAGTGGTATTAACACTTCACGTGATCTTGATTCTTGATCTTGATATTAATCACCTTTCAGCTTCTAACTTCTGCCTCTATTATCTAACCCTTGATAGAACAAATCCCATGTTTAAAAAAAATATTCTGTATCTTCTTCACCTCCAAGACTCCCCCCCTTTCCATTAAAACATCTGCAGATATTTGAAGAGGCAGGCAGAGCTTTAAGAGTTCCCCCTCTGAGATTATCAAAGGCCAGAAAATTCAGGCCCATATTGGCTTTTAATAGCGTATATAAAAAAAACGCCGATTGCTGATAACTCCTCGCTGGGAGATTTCTCTTCCTTCTTTTTTCCTTTTCAACTATATTTTTAATGCAAGAAAGAAAGAGGGGGGGGAGGGAGAAAGGAAGGAAGGAAGGAAGGAAGGAAGGAAGAAAGAAAGAAAGAAAGAAAGAAAGAAAGAAAGAAAGAAAGAAAGAAAGAAAGAAAGAAAGATCTTAAGCGTTGCCAAGACTGTGAGTTGACCCCAAGCACAACCTTAAAAGGGAGGGGGGGATGGAAACTCAACAGCTCCCCTGCCTCAAGATCCCTGCAGAGTGGTCCTTTGCAGGGAGCCCATCTGCAAAGCTAGCCCAAACTTTCCTCCTCTCCCCCTCCAACCAGCCTTCCGAGATCCTGGCCAGGTCTTAATGGACTCCCCATTATTTCCTATCTCCCATCACCACCACCATTGCGGCCCGGATGCTTTCAAGCCAGCTTGGTAATGGCCGTAATTGGAGGCACGTGCCCTCGCCACGCCGGTGCCCCCAGTTACACAGCCGCGGTTTCAACTCGGAAAGGTCGCCGGGAAAACAGGGGCCTTCAAATTAAGTTATGAATTACAAGCCGAGGACAATATTTTGACGCGCCCGAGCTGGCGGTGTCAGGAGTGGCAGGACGTAATTCACAGATTCATTACCAAATGGAGGGGGGGGCGACAGCTGAGCGCAGAAGGCCTCACGGTGGCGACACGTGGGTGCCCCGATGCCCGCCCACTTCCTCGCGCAAACGCACACCCGTTCACCTTGCACGGGTGATGTGAATAAAGCGTGCGAGGGGGCAGCGCCCCTTTAAGGCCCCTTGCGAGATAAATGAGGGTGAATAGAGAAGGAAAAAAAGAGCATTAGCATTTAAAACAGGTAATGTTGTAAGCCCTGCCTGCCTCCCTCCTTCCCTGCCTTAACAGCCACGGGGAGATTAAAGCGGGCCTTGGATGCTTAATTGCTTTCATCTTCAGGAAAGTAAAACATACGCATCACAACAGCCCTGACAATTTCAAAATACTGATTTTTGTGTTCTCTCGTGCCCCCTCCCTCTCCTCTTCCCCTTTCTATGCCTCCGTTCTTAAACTGGCAGAAAGGAGAAGGGTGCAGCAAACCCTGTGAAGCGCCTCCTGCCTTTTAATGTTCCTTCAGTCCATGCGCCTAATCGTCACATCTTTTTTTTTAAAAAAAAAAAGACTTCCCACTTCCCTTCCTCGTTCTCTTCCCCTGCTTCTCTGAGCGAGGATGGGCTCCGGAGTCCGCTTCAGTTAAGCTGCCTTGATTAACGAGGGGGATGAACGGCTGGTTAAGTTTCATTTGAGCCCCTGGTTGCCAACTCAACCCGTTCGGGTTGTTTTACGGCCCCGCGCGCACGCGTCATGCTCAGGAAACGGGATAATGCGCAAAGCGACGGAGGGAGAGGGGTTACCGATAGGCCTGCTGAGTCATGGGAATGGCATAGCGATATAGTGGTTGTATCAGCACCTTTTTAAATATACACGATGATCAGTGGTGGGATTCAAATTTTTTTACTACCTATTCTGTGGCCGTGGCTTGGTGGGCGTGGCAGGGGAAGGATACTGCAAAATCCCCATTTCCATTTCCAAAATCCCATTTCCATTTCAGCTAGGACTCGGGAGGCAGAGAATAGATGGGAGCGGGGCTAGTCAGAGGTGGTATTTACCGGTTCTCCAAACTACTCAAAATTTCCGCTACCGGTTCACCAGAACTGGTCAGAACCTGCTGAATACCACCTCTGATGATGATATACATCCTAATTACGACCATTTTTCTCTTATTCATACAGTATAGTCCATACGGGGGTGGAAAAAGAAACTTGATATTAGACAACATATTTATATCTATTGTTTTCATGGTTATAACATAATTCTCTATACATTTATCACTCTATATATTTCTCTATATACAGTCTAGTAATAACATTGCTTGCAATGCGTATTTTTCTGTATAGATTTGTACCTGTATTTGTTTCTAGCTTATTAATCCTCTTTCACCATTAATTTTCTAACCCTTGCATCTATTTAAATTTAAACAAATAAATTATCTAGCCGCATGATGGCGAACCTATGGCACGCGTGCCACAGGTGGCACACGTAGCCATATCAGTGGGCACGCGGGCTCAGTTCCGGCGCGTATGCACGTGTCGGCCAGCTGATTTTCAGGTCTTCTGGGCCCACCAGAAGTAGGGAAACAGGCTGTTTCCTGCCGCCGGAGGGCCTGGGGGCGGTGGGGAAGACCTGTTTTTCTTTATTACCTGGCTCCAGGGCTTCTCTAGGAATCTGGGGAGGGAGAAAACGGCCTGTTTAATAACTTCTGGTGGGATCGGAAGGCCTATTTTTTGCTGTCCCCAGCCTCCAGGGCCTCTCTAGGAGTCTGCGGAGGATGAAAACAGCCTCCCCCCCCCCGAGGTCCTCCAGAGGCTTAAAATGCCCCATTCGACAACTTCCGGTCCCACCGGGCCTTCTGGTCCCACCGGAAGTTGTTAAACGGGCCATTTTTGGCCTCCAGAGGACCTCCAGGGGGTGGGGAAGGCTGTTTTCGCCCTCCCCAGACTCCTAGAGAGGCCCTGGAGCCAGGTAAGAAAGAAAAATGTGCATGCCAGCAGCGGGGAAGGGGAGGTGGCACACGCATGCGTGGGGGCGGGGCACATAGAATTATGGGTGTGGGCACACATGCGCGACTCCTCCCCTCCCCTCCTGGCACACGATGGCAAAAAGGTTAGCCATCACTGATATAGCCGATTGTACCATAGGTTCCATATTAGATAATACTGTTTCTCCTTTGTCTTTCATTTCCATCGTTAACCTGTCCATTTCGGCGCAGTCTGATATTTTCCTTATTACCATTTCCTCTGTAGGCATACTTCAATTTTTTCCAATTTTGTGCATACGTAATTCTAGCTGCTGTTATCACATGTAACATTAAATATTGAATTCTTTTATTGTATTTCCCCGTTAGTATGCCTAATAGAAATTGTTCTGGTTTTAGGTCCATTAGTTGTGTTATCATCTCCTCTAACCACTCTTTTACCTTTACCCAATATTTTTTCGCCAACGGACAGGTCCACCACATGTGAATGTTGCTTGTCTTCAGAACCAAAACTGTCTTCGGCCCGAAGCCGCTAAATTTTCCACTTCGGAAAAAAGTATTTATGTCTCTCTAGCATTGTTTCCACTGACCCCCCCCCTATTTTCTCTTCCTTCCTCCAGCTACATGAGAGCAACTACGACGCCGGGAAGGCCCTCCAGCGTCTGGTGAGGAAGCCCGTCCCCAAACTGATCGAAAAATGCTGGACGGAAGACGAAGTGGTAAGAAGGCTAGTTTTGGGAGGCCGGCTGTTGTCAGGCTCCGCTTCAATCTCTCGTCGTTTTTGCTCAGATCCTTCACTTTGGAAGGTGGCGAGAGACACAGGGGGTCTCTTGCGCGGCCGGCTTCTCCCAGCTGCCAGGTTCCCACCTTGCCAGCTTGCACCCAAATCACTCAAAATTAGACATTGCTCTGCTACCTGTTGTGGCCCGCCAGCGGATCTGGCAGCAGATTCGGACAGTGAGGAGGTTGGGGAAGAACGTGGGCCAGTCCTGGAGTCTGGGGAAGGCTCTGATGAGGGCTCTGGGTCGGAGGCAGAGAGGGGGTCAGGGCCGTATGCCAGTTATCAGCTGCCCTTGGAGTCAGACATCAGTGAGGCAGGCAAACAGCTGGAGCCTGTTCCCAGTGTGCGCATGCGGAGAGTTGCCAGACAAAGGGAACAGCTAAAGAACAAGGGTTGACTCAGGAGTAAAGGCACAGGTGGGCGGTGAATGGCCCCTCCCAGAGGGAATAAAAGAGGAGCGAAAGGGGAGAAGAGAGACTTTGTTGGAGAGGAAGTCACTGTAAATTAAACAAAAGGGGTTTTTGTCGGGACAAGGCGTCTGCTTCGTGGTTTGGGGAAGCCTAGATCAGAACACTACTACTGGGTTCAACCAAGGAGCCGCTGGGGGCCAAGCCTCATCGTCTTGTGCCAGTTACCCCTAGTTGCCCAACTGAGGGGCCAGCAGACCTCTCTCCCCAAAAAACCCCAAGTAGAAATAGCTTTTTTGTGCCTTGTCTGTGTTACCTGAATTCAGTTAGCCATGAAATGTTTGGAGCTCTGAGCTCAACTTTCACCCAAGGTGCCCTTGCATGGACTCGAAGGTCCAAAGAACGAGGTGAAAGGATGGAACGGGGGGGTACCAAGGCCAGGGAGAATGAGACGAGGGGAGCAGGAGAAGAGAAAATAATTCCCCCTCCCATCCCCTGCGGAGAGGAAGGGGAACACCAGAAGCCAGATGGCTTTAAGAGGAAGCGCATTAAGATCCATGCGCCTGCTCTAATGGTTGTAAGGCTGGCGTGGCCCTCTCTAGTAAGATCCAGGAAAGGTATGGAAAGGGGCTCGGCGGGGATCCCTCCCCTCCCCGGGTCTCCTTTGGTTCTGGCCCGAGAGTGGTGTGGGGGAGAGGTTGCTGAATCCCACAGACTCTGACCAATGGCAAAATCAGGAAATTTGATGTCTGGCCACCCTGGGATGCTCGGAGGGAGGTGGGAGTCTTGTCCAAAACAGGCCTCTTTGACAGCAAGGTATCCTGGTCTCTAGCACATCCTGGGTACCGAAGCGAGCTGCGCCACAGTTTATCAAAGAACCCCTTCGGCAAACAATGCAATGCGTCTCCAAGGCTGGCCGTGTTTTGCTTCGGATCGAAATGGGCCCGCCTGACCTCCTCCCCCCAACTCCCACCGTGTCCCTCCCTGCCAACTTCTCATCAGCTGGGAAATTGGCACCCCTGCAGGAACCCTCCTTCCCCCTAGGTCTCTTCTCTTCCCCCCTTCCTCCCCCCTTTCCCTACGCCTTTTTTAAATCCTAAAAGCGCCAGCGATATTTTGGTGCATCAGACTGGAAGAAAAGCAGGTGCTTGAAGGCCTGTTAGCACCGGGTGCGCAAGGAACAGGTTCAGACATGACGGCACAGAGTTCCAGAAAGCTGGATGGAGAAGAAATGGAGGCAGCTTTGTAACATCTGGATAGGCCAGCTCGTTGCCCTTTCGGCTCATTTGTCCCAAAGGAACTTTTTCTCTCAAGAGGCAACTGGACTTTCTTGTTTTTCTTCAAAGACGTTTCGCTTTTCCTCCGAGGAGCTTCTTCAGCTTCTTCTCCTCCGAGAACCTTCTTCAACTTCCTCTCCCCCGAGGAGCTTCTTCAGCTTCCTCTCCTCTGAGAAGCTTCCTCATTTTCTTCTCATCAGCTGAAGAAGCAAAAACATCTTTGGAGAAAAAAACCAGAAAGTCCAGTTTTCTCCTGAAAAAGCACCTTTGGGACAACTACAACAGAGGTGGTATTCAGCCGGTTCGAACCGATTTGGGCGAATCGGTAGCGGAAATTGCTCTATGCTGTACTATTTAGGCACGTTTTTTTAGGCCAGGCACATGTGCAGAAGGCTCACACACCAGTAAAACACATGCATAGAAGGCCAGGCACATGCGTGGAGGTGGCGTGACTGTGCACACGCTCACATTTTCGGTGCTGGGCGAACCGGTATGTACTGGATGACTGAGAACCTCCATAGACATCTTGGCTCGTTTGTCTTCCAGTTGTCGGAATTCAATCTTCCCTTGCAATTTTTTTTTGGGGGGGGTGGGGGTTGGGGGAGTCTCCTTTCTGAGAGTGGATAGGCCCGGCGTAATATTTTTAGCATCCTTGAAATCAGAAACCCTTAATCGGAGGAATGAGATTCCGTGCTTCGAAAGGGCTTGGCTCCGATTAGCAAGCCGGTGTTCGAAACGCCGCCTCTTTTCCAGCTCTGCTTGCGCCATCCAAAGAATGAAGCCCTCTAAATTTGTGCTCAACTGCCCCTCCGTTGCCTGTGCGTTTGGACAATAGACAGTAGAGTTGGAAGGGACCTTGGAGGTCTTCTAGTCCAACCCCCTGCTTAGGCAGGAAACCCTACATCACTTCAGACAAATGGTTATCCAACCTCTTCTTAAAAACTTCCAGTGTTGGAGCATTCACAGCTTCTGGTGGCAAGTTGTTCCACTGGTTAATTGTTCTCACTGTCAGGAAATTTCTCCTTAGTTCTAGGTTGCTTCTCTCCTTGATTAGTTTCCACCCGTTGCTTCTTGTTCTGCCCTCAGGTGCTTTGGAGAATAGCTTGACTCCCTCTTCTTTGGGGCAACCCCTGAGATATTGGAAGACTGCTATCATGTCTCCCCTAGTCCTTCTTTTCATTAAAGTAGACATGCCCAGTTCCTGCAACCGTTCTTCATATGTTTTATCCTCCAGTCCCCTAATCCTCTTGGTTGCTCTTCTCTGCACTCTTTCTAGTGTCTCCACATCTTTTTTTACATCGTGGCAACCAAAACTGGATGCAGGATTCCAAATGTGCCCTTACCAAAGTCTTATAAAGTGGTATCAATACTTCACGTGATCTTGGACACATGCAGAGAGGGAAAAAACGCAGGGGCCATTTTTCCCTTTCCAGCCGAGGGATGATAGATCCAAGATTAATCAACGTTGCACAACGTTGCACCTGTCTCTCAGGGCTGCAATTTCTCTCTCTTTTTTTTTATTTTTAGTTTTCTATTTAACTGAGATCGCTCAGGCTTTCGGCCCTTCGGCCTTGGATTTCCTTTTTTTTTTTTTTTTTAGTCTCGGTTGAGAAATGCGGAAGCGTGCTTAAAAAAGCAGCTTGTTCGTTCTCTTCCCCGAGCAATCGACTCCATCCACAAAAGGAGACCGATCCCAGAATGCTTTGTAGTTTCTTAGCAACGGGGCGAAGTTTGTTTTAGCTGGCTGGGCGCTCAAGGAAAGCACATCTTGTTCCTTCTGTGTGCAGAAACAACCGAAGAACGTACGGCTTCAAAACACGAAACTTAAACAAACTGGCAGCACAGATAATCCCTAGTGGGGTGGAGTCGGGGCAACTGAATGGAGCTAACAGAATGTTTACTGGCCGGATGCCCTTCCTGTCGCCAATGCAGAGTTTTATTCAGCAGATATATTCTCATTGTGCCCAGAGAGAGAAATATCTGCCTCTACCTAGGATCGAACTCACAGCCTCCTGATTGTGAGGCAAGAGCTCCACCTCTAGGCTATGCACCACACCACTCTTCCAATATTCCAGAGATCTGAGCATGAAATGCACCAAGGATATCAATCTTCAGTCTCGGCTTAAAAGAATTTTTAATTGCTGGGAACGTCTTATATCTGGGATTATAGGAGTTTTTACAGGCCTACACGCTCGTATTCGGAAGAAATGCACCCTTTCTTAATGAAAGAGTGCCCTTACATGTCTTACTCCATTATAGTAGTGCCCAAAATTGTGGAAACCTTTTGGGAAAAGTGTATTTTTTTATTTTAAACACCACTTTTTTGGGGGGGGGGAGTTTCAAAGTTAATCATATTCCACTGCTGGAATGGCCTGGGAATCACATGATCACAGGAATGCCGCAATGGTTGTTAGTGCGAGAACCGGTCATAAGTCCCTTTTTTTCCCCAGTGCCGTCGAAACTCCAAAGGTTCGCTAAATGAATCGTCGTAAATCGGGGACGACCTGTGGAAAAACCCCAGTGCTGAAACCGGAGGAGTTCTGTTCTGAGCCCGGAGAGATTGGCGGATCTCTCTTTTAAGACGCTAACTGGAATTTATTTCTGCACTTTTTTTGTGCATGCATTTATATATATACACTGCTCAAAAAAAATAAAGGGAACTCAAGCAGAAGACATCCGAGATCTGAATGAATGAAATAGCCTCATTAAATACTTTGTTCGTTACATATAGTAGTTTTGTGTTCCCTTTAGTTGTTTGAGCGGTGTATAAACTACTGTATGTAAAGCACAAAGTATTTAATAAGGCTATTTCATTCATTCAGATCTCGGATGTCTTCTGCTTGTGTTCCCTTTATTTTTTTGAGCAGTATATATATAGAGAGAGAGAGAGAGAGGGGGAGGGAGAAAGATTGGCTAGCAAACGCAAGGATCCTTTTCCCTTCTCCGCAACTGCTCCGAGAAACTACCGCTTTTGTTAAGAAGGCAACGGATGTCTGCTTTTGTGGCAAGCGGCCCCACAAATTATTATTAAGGAAGTCATTTTAGTAATAGGCTTCCCAGCCCGAGTAATAAACAGGGAGTTTAAATGTTGCTGAGAAAAGAGATTAGGCTCCTTAACTGGCTTTGAAAGGATGAGAGCCCATTATAATTATGTCTCTCTTGAAATAAGAAGCTATTCTCTGCTTAAGAACTTCTAATTTTTAATGTAGGAAAAGCTTGTTTTTTTGTTTTTTTTTTAACCAGTCCTTAAATCG